GACCCCCTCGACTCCCTCGACCCCCTCGACACCCTCGTCCACGCCGTCCGACAACATCCCGTGGTACCTCAGGGTCGATGTCCCCAAACACGCCACCCTCGCGCCGCACGATGTGCCCCTGCCCGACATCCCGCCCCATTCGCCGGCCCTGCTGACGCCCCTGCTCTTCTTTGTCGCCGACGATCTCGGCCTCGACGACCTGGCCCTGCTCGACCTGCGCGCCCTCGACCCGCCCGCCGCCCTCGGCCCAGACCTTCTCATGCTGTTTGGCAGCGCCCGCAGCGAGCGCCACCTGCACGTCAGCGCCGACCGCCTGGTGCGCTGGCTGCGCAAGCACGGCGTCCACGCCACGGCGGACGGCCTGCTGGGCCGCAACGAGCTCAAGATCAAGCTGCGGCGCAAGGCGCGACGGGCCAAGCTGCTGGGCACCAGTGGCACTAGTGGCATGGCCCAGCTGGACGCGGCGTCCCGGGGCGAGGACGCCGCGCAGGTGGTCGACGACGGCATCAGCACGCAGTGGGTGTGTCTGCATGCGGGCACGCTGGGCCGGTCGGCGGACGAGGGCAGTACGCTGGACGCCGCGGGCCGCACGAGCGGCTTTGGGGCGCTGCGGTCCCCCGGCACGACAGTCGTGGTGCAGATGTTTACGGACGCCAAGCGGAAGCAGCTCGACCTCGAAGCGCTGTGGTCGCGGACGCTGGTGCGCAGTGTCAAGGCCCGGGTCGCAGCGGGCGAGGCGCTGCCGGAATACACGCTTGCCGCGGCGGAGGCGGCCAAGGCGCGCAGTGGGAAAGAGACCGACACCAACGACGGGGCAGAGAGCGAAGCAGAAGCAGACACCGGTTTCGAGGATGCCCCTGTGCAGTCGACTGTGCAATCGGCAGCCGCACCGTCCTCGGGCGCGCCCTCGAGTTCCTTTGGCGGGCAGCACCGCTACTTCTCGACATCGGCACGCCGGCGGGCCAACCTGGAGCGCGAGCACGCCGGCCAGACCAGCCCCGATGCGGACATCGTGTCCCGCCTGACGCAGCCCTGGATCGGCGCGAGCGACGTCGCCAAGCTGGGGGCACGGCTGGCGCAGGACGCCGCCGGCAAGGCGCAGCTGCAGAAGCAGCTGATTCGCTACCTCGACAGCCTCGGCCAGCCGGAGGCTGTCCACGCGCTGGGCGCCGTGCAACCACACGGCCGCGGCCGGCCCACGTCCGACTTCATCACCGCCAGCGCGGTCTGCATGCGCGACGTGCCGCCCGCCGAGACCTGGGCGCTGCGGGCGCACGTGCACGCCCGCGCGCTGATTCTGCGCCACGGCGGCTACGACCTGGCGGGCCTAGTCGAGTTAATCCGCGAGATGCAGCAGGGCGGCCTGCCCGTCGACCGCGCGCTGTGCGCACAGCTGCTGCAGGCGCTGTTCACGCCGCAGGCGGACGAGACCCGCGAGCCGAGCGTGGCTGTGAGCGTGGGCGCGGTGCCGTCCGCAGAAGAGACAGCCCGCGCGGCGGCGCTGCTGGATCTGCGAAAGGAGACAGCCCTGGGCCTGCTCAACACCATGTACGAGCGCGGGCAAGAAACGATTGCGCGGGACGTGATTGTGGCCATGATTGCGGCCCTCGCGCGGCACAACGGCGTCGCCCGCGCCCGCACCACCGCCCATGCGGTCTTTGCGGAGAAGCTGGAGCAGGCCCGGCGCCCCGTCGCCGCGCCGCCGGCACACCTCGACCGCGACGGCAACCGCCGCTTCCAGGCCGTCAACGACGTGCCGCGGGGGCTCGACGTAGCCGACGCGACCGACGCACGGGACGCCGACCACCAGGCCGTGGGTGTCAGCGCCGCCGCGCAGGCCGCCGACGACCTCCAGACCACGCTCGAGGCCCTGCTGCACCAGGCCGAGCTGCCGTGCCTCGAGGACGCCCAGATCATCACCCTGCTCGGCGCGTACGCGGACGCCGAGGACTGGGCCCGGTTCTGGGCGCTCTGGCGCATGCCGCCGCAGCACGGCCTGCCGCGGTCGCCGGCGCTGTACGTCTACGTATTCAGGCGCATGGCCGAGACCGGCCACAAGGCCTTGTGCGTCGACGCCGTGCGCAGATGCTTCCACGAGATGATGCGCGAGCAGGTGCCGGTGCAGCCCAAGGCGGCTGTGTACAATGCACTAACACAATGCATCAAGGTGGCGGACCCGGGCGCCGAGGCGATTGCGCGGAACTTGCCGGATGTTCGGTCGGAAATGACACGAGATCAAAAGAAGCGGGCGAGAAGAGAGTTTGTCAAGCTTCTGCGGTTGGTCGAAAACTTGCGATAGGAAGGGGAAGAGGGGAAATGTGTACGAAAAGTATGTATAAAACTAATCTCGTTCAAGTTCCTATTGTCATGTGAGGGGCATAGCAGAAGGACAAATGTACAGAAAACAGAAACACCTTTCTCAAACGAGATCCCAATATAAAAGTAAAGTAAACCGTATTAAATATTAAAAGAGGACAAATACATGTCCGCGGGCAGCGCCCGACGTGTAAATCGTGTTGTCGTAATGTCGTAAAAGTTGCAGAAGGCCGCATAATATATAGTACAGTATCCAAACAAAAATGCGCAGTCATATAGAGACTGTACATAATACAGCCACAAAAAAGCGTAAACTTCTCATAAAAAGAACAAAAGTTCGGCAAACCAGAGCCAAGAGAGTGCGAGTGGTATGAGGGCAAGAACAATCCACCACATCTCGACAGTGAGGCGCCGGCGGAACCAGCGGCGCAATAGACGCGGCGGGCGGCGGTGGACACAGGTTTTGGTATTGTAAATGAGGCAGCCGAGGTCGGGACGGCTCTCGCACTCTATGTGCTCACGACGGCGCTTCATAAGGAGTCTATTGTTGTCAGCAGGAAACAACCAGACAGTGCGGAGAAGCAGCGGGCGAAAGGGAAGAAGCGAGCGAAGCGAGGGCCAAACTTACGGAACACTGCCGCGGCAGAAACGGAGATCGCTGCCGAGATCACAGCGGGTGTCGTTGGGGCAGTCGAGGTGCAGGAGACGGCGGGACATGAGCCAGCTAATCTTGAGCTCGATGCCGGTGTCGACAAAGTTGTAAAAGTAGCGGGAGGAGTGCTTGAGCGACAGGGCATCTGGGTAGATGAGCTGCTTGGCGATCTGGATGTGGAGCTCCGGTGGCAGGCTCATGAGGGAGCGGGGCGGCCGGGGCGAGATGGTGATGGTGTCGTCGTCGGCATTCGGGTCAAGACCGGCGACGGTCTTATTTGAACCAGACGTAAGCAGTTTGGATGACGCAATTGCTGATGCTTGAGACCCAGCAGCCTGAGCCTGAACCGGGGACCGGAAATTTGGCAGCCACCGAAGCACCATGGCGAAGAAGTGTATATATTGTCGGTGTATGACAAGCAGGAAGATATGTGATGTGGCAGGTTATTGATGTTGATCAATTTGTACGTCAAGTCGTTTCCGGCCAAACCTGCCGTATTTATGTCTTGTCGAATCGGTTTCGCGGCTGCCTTACCAAAGGACAGATCAATAAAAGCCAGTGACGGGGTCGGGATAGTGGGAAGATGGGGAAGATATTGAGAAACGAAATTGACAAGGACGAGGCAGACACTAAATAAGAGGAGGAAATAAAGAGGACAAGCAAAACTGATGCAGTATTCGAGCTGAGCAGAAGGCTGCAGGATAACGTCCAACGCTCTTCTGGACGTCCTGGATTTCGCCGCCGAATGACAGCGTGCAGGCCACTTCCGGCTGCAGTAGATGAAACAAGGGGTGGGAAGAGCAGAGACACGAGGAGGGACATGGAGGAATGCGAGGTATCTAGAACTGTGGAGTGTGGGACGATGGTGGTTGAGTAATGCCAGCAGCACCCAAAGCGGCGCCGGTCAGGCCCAACGGCACCCTAAATTCAGGAACAAGGCACCGGCACAACCACAATAGGACCACCGCGACGAAGGCTGTCGAGGCTGTGTCTCGCCCGGCTGTCACCTCAAGCTGTATTTTGTGGCGCTTGGGATGTCTTTGGTTCTGTCTTGAGGACTGGGGATCATGCGCTGTTTGGTAGGCCTGCGGGGACCAAGCTGGAGATGGTCCACTTTAACAGGGTATTAATAGGCACCCGCATACGAAATACCGTATTCTTGTTCGGGCCTGCAAGGCTTCTTTCCAAGCGCCAGGACCACCCGTCAGGCTGTCAGGGTATGTCTTTATTGTAATCTTTTGTGTAATGTCGTCGTGCCAAAGAACACTCTAAATCGAAGACAATAGGAGTTGGATGGAGGTAATTGCGGGCAGCCTTGGAGGCCAACAACAAGGGTACTGCCGCTAAAAGTGGAGGCTGTGGACAAGGTCGATTGGATGTCTAGGCTGATACAGGGCTGGAGAGGTGGAAGAAAGGAAGAAAAAGGATGAAAGAGGACTGTGGAGGAAAAAGGAGGACAGCAAGATGGCGATGTACCATGCGACAGATACGGAAGGAGCTACGATTGGCCTGGCCGACGAGTCACCTGTCGCGGAAAGAGCCAGAATACGAGAAGAAAGGTTGGGGGAAGGCACGCTAGACGACACAAGAGGTATTTGACGGAAATGGAAAGTCCTGTCGTAAGCTACGTTGGGCCTGGCAAAAACAGCCATTGTGGCGTGTTAGGGTCACGGCCACTTTGGGTCTGGTACACTTGCACGGGCCAATCCGTCTAATGCATGCAAAAGGAGTGATGACACGGCAGCAACTGGGAGAGGAATCAACGTGCTCAGCGGTCTCTAGATGGCCTCACGTGAGTTCCTGTGACGTCCGCGTCGAAAAGGTCTTGCCGTTTTGGGCCCTACGCTACGGTCATTGCTGCCTGTGGCAGGCGACTAACAATCGCCGGGCTGTCATTGGGCAGGCGCAACCCAACGGCCAGACTTTGGCGATGGCTTGACCACCATGACGTCGGACCGCGTCGTGTTTTTCCATAATCTTTCCCTCGTTCTCTACTTGGCCAATTCCACAGCAATGACTGCCAATTTCCACCATGCCTGTGGCTGGTAACGACAGCAACGGCAAGAAGGTTGGCGACACCGTCGACGTTGACATTGACAGCGAAAGCGAAAGCGACTACGGCTGGGACCTGTCGCTGGAAGAAGACGTGCACAAACTCTTAAACGCGACAGCGGCGCAGACGGACATCGCACTCGCCTCTTCCTCTCCACGCGCCCGACTCTTCGTGCCGGTCGTCGCCGACACGCCAGCACAACACAATGCAACCGCTTCGCAGCCACTCGGCCCTCTGGCGGCGGAGGCGGTGGGTGCCACTGCTGCGCCTCACCACGACCCAGTCGCCGACGACGACGATCCAAGCGCGGCTGCTGTCTTGGACGCGGCCCGTGTCGGCCTCGACGTCGAATACCCGGATTGTAAGTGAATGCGAGAAGTTTGTTTGTGGTCGCAAAAAAGGGGGAAAGGCCGTTTCTGACTCTAACAACAGCGTTTAGTGAGCCAAGTCGTGGCCGACCTCGACGGTGAAATGGCCGATGGGGACGAGGCTGTTGTTGGGATTGCAATGAATAGAGGAAACACAGACGAGACAGGCCCGCTGCCGCCAAGGCCGGCAGCCGTGCCCACAGGCATACCCGCCAACTTGGCCTCCGCCAGCATTGCATCACCGCTCGCCCAGTTCCGCACCTATCCCAAAAAGCCTTTGTCTGTCAGCGACCTCACCGCCGGCGCCTGGTGCGAGTTGCAGTACGAATACACGCTGACGCGGCTGCCGGGCGGCCGTCGTACGCGCACGCCAGCGATGCGCGCGGGCTCCAAGGTGCACCAGAAGCTCGAGGACGAGGTGCACACGACGGTGCCCATAACCGTCAAGAAGCCGCAAGACGTTTTGGGTGTCAAGATCTGGAACATGGTCCACGGCCTGCGGACGCTGCGCGAGACGGGGCTGACGCGCGAGCTGGACATTTGGGGCTTGGTCGACGTGAGCCCTCCTCCGGTCGACGGCCAGAGCCAGCAGGAAGTGGTCAATGGCGTAATTGACGCGCTGAGCTACGAAAACCCGGATCCGGCGGAACAGCCACCGCGGCAAAACGGACAGGACAATGGAACGCCGACCAGACGAACGCGTCGCTCCAAATCGGCTGCCACGGCGACTTCCATCGAATCTTCAGCGGCACACATTACCGACTACTTTCCGTCGTCTCCATTGGACCCATTGTCACAAGAGCAGGCGAAATCCAGCCCCAGAAAGGAAAAAGAGCCGCCATCGTCACCACTTCGCAAAGTCTACATTACCGACGTCAAGACCCGCGAGTCGACCCGTCTACCCACTGGCGCTGCGGCACGCCCATCCAAAATTCAACTGTATCTGTACCACCGCTTCTTGTGCGACCTCGCCAGCGGCAACTTCCGCTTCGAGGTCGTCTTTCAGCGTTACAACGTCGACCAGCACGACTTGTTTTCGGACGACTTTCTGGCGGAAATGTACGCCGACCCCCTGTTTGTGGAGCTGACGGAGGACGCCGCCGCCGACGACGCGGAAAGCAGCAACACGCTGCACGACTTTGTGCGCATCCTCCAGCACGAAGTCGCACTGACGTTCCCGCACGGCGCCGCCTCGGTTGGCGACGTTGTGGCTGTGGAGTACCGTCAGCGGCCACGGGACGGCGACGACGGCGGCCGTTGCATCGGTACCAACGTCATCCCTGTCGACGAGAATGTGTTGGACCGCTACCTGGCCAACTACCTGGCATGGTGGCGCGGGGCGCGGGCGCCCGTTGGCGTCGACATTGAAGAGGCCGCGCTCAAGTGCGGCTACTGCGAGTTTGTCGACGACTGCGAGTGGCGGCAGACGATGGATGAGGAGCGCGTACAGAAGGCCCGGGCCAAGATCGCCGCAGCACGGGGGCAGGACAACTGAGCGGGCTTTTTATGAATATTGTGCTGGGGAATTTCTACGCTCGACACGAACTTTGGCTATGACTGTGGATCTCTATTTTGCATATGTTTTTCTTTTGTTCCCTTTATGGCCCATGATGCTTATGAGAGACAAAAGTGGTGTTTTGGGCAATAGGAGTGACAGTTCGGCTTCTTCGTTCTCCTTGACGATTCTGTATTTTGATACCATACGCATTACTGCCATGTTACCCGTTTTACTCTCTCACTCATTACTCCTAGGGGGTATCGTCTGTCTTGCTTTTTGGACCTGCCACAATGGGCGAGGTCACTCGATCAAAGAGCTCTTTAGAATGCGGCACTGTCTCTGTACATGTATATCCCGGTAAATCTATTTACTATCCGTACGTGCCGGCGGTATTGTCTTCCCCGCCTCCTTCGTGTCGTCACGTTTAGACCTCCGGCTAAATCGGCCACAAGATAGTGCTTTGAAGGCTGACAACGTTGAAAATCAGACAGCACTCCCTCTGTCGTGATCTTTATATAGGTGCCTAATAAAGAGAGCCTCGATGTGTCTGTATATGAATGTGTCTTTATATGAAATAGTTCGTCGCGGGAGGTATTTTGTGTCGTTTTTCTTCAGCGTTTAATATAATATCTGAAATAAGAGGAATGTGTTTTACCTATAAATTGTTCTCTTTTCTTTCTTTTTCTTAAAAAAAAAAAATAGAAAAAAGAAAGAAAAGACAGACAGAAGAAAAAGAAAACAAAAGAAAAAATTTAAAAAAATTTTAAAAAAAAAATGAAAAATGAAAAAAACGATAACATCACCGGCCGTTTAATTTGCGATTATGCCACGCACCTACCCAGGACATAATAAATACTACCAACCTCAATTTTTCAAGCTGCCTCGCTGCTTCTCACATACGGGTTGAATTCCCACAATATGAGCACATAGTTGACCGTGATGCTGTTGTCTTCTGAACACAGGGCGGCGTTGACAGGGATAGAGGGATGCCACCATAAACAGACGCCGATCATCACAATCTAACTGGAGACAACTCCCTTTGTGGAAAGGACAAACGACGCGACAAATAATGAGCAGATCGTCTGTTCCTGGTTTCTGATATTCCGTGTCTAAGTAACTGAGTGGCTGCAAATTAAAGAATACTGCCGCCAATGCATGGATGCATCGCACCTTCTGTTTTCGTGTCAAAGGGAGGCCGACGAGAGTCGCGTGTTTTAAGAGGTCACCACACATCCAAAGGCAGTTGCAATGACTGCATTTTTTTTTTTTCATAGAGAAACGGCGTCACTCTCTCAATTTGCCCCAAATCTCATTTGCGTCCAATCTTCGACGTCGTTGTATCCGAGGTCCCTACAATACACTGGACGACATCACTCACAGGGCCAGCACTCTCAACACCATCTGATCCCTTTCATTTAGTTACGGCGCTCTTCCAACGTTTTTTGCTGTTCCTCCGGCCGCATGACTGGTCTTGTTTCGCCTTTCACGACGCATCGACTCGACCGACAACGGTTCTTCTACAATAGGCACAGCAGATGCGGCTGCAGCAGCGAGCCATAAAGCACTCAAACAACCTGCATATGCTCGCGAAACGCACGCCTCTTTCACCAACGCCTGCTGGCGTCTCTTTCTCCTCTCTCTATTTATATATATCCATGGCTGCAAAACCACTCCTCGAACCCGTCTGCATCCCATTCATCCTATCGGTGCCGCGGTTTAATTAGTCCATTACCCGCCGCCAGTGACGACCTTCTGGCCAGGCTCCAGGACCGAAAGACCTCGGGAAATCTTTCCATACATCACCAGTACCATCACAGTACCATCATAGGACCATCACCAGTACAGCTCAAAAACGCAACCGGCTCTACAGCTTCCCACAAACCGTCCGCACCATGGCCAGCTCTCGTCGCAGGACGTCCAGCAGCGACTGGCTTCTGCTCGCCTTGACTCTCGTGGCCGTTGCACCCTGTCCTTCTTTGGCCTCCGCATCATCCACGGCTGCGTCATCGGCGACAGAATTCCACAAAATCGCACCCTCGCTGCTGAGACGACCAAGACCACCGCACTTTGCCGCCGCCCGCGGCTCCAACAGCACCAACAGCACCACATTCGACCCGCTCGCCTGGGTCGACCCGCTGATTGGCGCCTCCAATGGCGGCAACGTCTTCCCGGGCGCGTCGTTGCCGTACGGCATGGCCAAGGCCGTTGCCGACACCAACAGCGGGTCCAACCAGGGCGGGTTCACGCTGGACGGCAGCCCCGTCACGGGCTTCAGCATGATGCACGACTCGGGCACGGGCGGTAGCCCGTCGCTCGGCAACTTCCCGCTGTTTGCGTACACGGCGTGCGCTGACGACGGCGCCGTCGACGGCTGTGTGTACCCCAAAAAGGGACGGGCGACGTATGGGCATTTCCGCAACGCGAGCGTGACGGCGCGCCCAGGCCTCTTCGGGATCGGCTTGGACACGGGCATTTATGTGAATATGACGGTGGCGCACCACACGGCGCTCTTCCGGTTCACGTTCCCAGACAACGGCACGGTGACGGGCACGTACCTCGACAAGACAAATGCCACCAAGACGACGAGCTACACGGGGCCCGTCCAGCCGCTCATCCTCCAGGACCTGTCCGACCTGGCGGACTCGCGCCAGGACAATGCCACGATCCAGGTCGATCCAGCGACGGGGCGCATCACGGGCAGCGCGCGATTCCTGCCGAGCTTTGGAAGCGGCAATTTTGTGCTGTATTTTTGCACAGACTTTGACGGCGCGACGATTCTGGACAGTGGCATCTATGCCAACAGCCGGGCCAGCACGGCCGTGCACAATCTGACCATCTCGCGATCGATTAACGGCTACCCGCTGCCCGGCGGTGCCTTTGTGCGGTTCACATCGGCTGCGAACCCCATCACGGCGCGCGTGGCCACCAGCTTCATCAGTGTTGAGCAGGCGTGCCAGCATGCCGAGACCGAGATCCCCTCGTTTGATTTCGAGAGCGTGGCGCAGGCCGCGACCGACGCCTGGCGGGCCAAGCTCCGTCCGATCCGCATCGTCGTCGGCAACTTCACAGGCGCTCTCGCCGTGCAGAACCAGACCCACGCCAACGAATCGAGCGTGCCGCCGCCCAAGCGGCCGCCGCCGACGTCGACGACCAGCACGGGCACGGCGCGCCCGACCTTTCGGCCCCTGCCACTGACGCCGCCCAATGGCACGTCCATCTTTGCCAACGCGACGTCCGCTGGCAATAGCTCCCGGCCGGCGGCCGTCGCTTTCACGACACCGGACGACATGCTGCGCAACTTTTACAGCGGCATCTACCGCACCATGATCAACCCGCAGGACTACACGGGCGAGAACCCGCTGTGGTCGAGCAGCGAACCGTACTTTGATTCGTTTTACTGCATCTGGGACCTGTTCCGCTCGCAGATGCCCTTCCTCACAATCATCGACCCGGACGCGCTGGCGCGCATGATCCGCTCGCTCGTCGACACGTACCGCCACGTCGGCTGGCTGCCGGACTGCCGCATGTCGCTGTGCAAGGGCTACACGCAGGGCGGCTCCAACGCCGACAACGTGCTCGCCGACGCCTTCACCAAGGGCATCCAGGGCGGCATCGACTGGGACGCCGCGTACGCGGCCGTCCTCCAGGACGCCGAGGTCGAGCCGTACGACTGGTCCAGTGAGGGCCGCGGCGGGCTCGACAGCTGGAAGGCGCTGGGGTACATCCCCGTGCAGGACTTTGACTACAAGGGCTTTGGCACCATGACGCGCAGCGTGTCGCGCACCCTCGAGTACAGCTACAACGACTACTGCATCGCGCAAATGGCCCACGGCGGGCTGGCGACGTCGGCGGCCGACGAGGCGACGTACCTGGACCGCAGCGGCAACTGGCAGAACCTGTACAAGGCAGACCAGCCGTCGCAGTGGTGGAACGGCACGGACACGGGCTTCACGGGCTTCTTCCAGCCGCGCAACCTCAACGGCACGTGGTCCTACCAGAACCCGCTGAACTGCAGCAACCCGGACGAGTCCAGCGTGTGCTCGCTGCAGAACACGGGCGCCGAGACGTTTGAGAGCAGCCTCTGGGAGTACGGCTTCTTTGTGCCGCACGACCAGGCCACGCTCATCCAGCTGTACGGCGGCGACGACGCCTTTGTGCGCCGCCTCGACTACCTGCACGACCACGGCATCGTGTACATTGGCAACGAGCCGGCGTTCCTGACCGTCTTCCAGTACCACTACGCCGGCCGCCCGGGCCTGTCGGCCAAGCGCGCGCACACGTACGTGCCGCAGTTCTTCTCGCCGACGCCGGACGGCCTGCCGGGCAACGACGACAGCGGGGCCATGGGCAGCTTTCTGGCCTTTACGATGATGGGCCTCTTCCCGAACCCCGGCCAGAACGTGTACCTCATCATCCCGCCCTTCTTTGAGGCAGTGCACATCACGCACCCGCTCACCAACAAGACAGCCGTCATCCGCAGCACCAACTTTGATGCCACGTACGAGGCCGTCTTTATCCAGAGCGCCACGCTCAACGGCGCGCCGTACACCAAGAACTGGGTGGACCACGCCTTCTTCACCGAGGGCCACGAGCTGGTCCTGACGCTGGGCCGCAACGAGAGTGCCACTTGGGGACGGGCCGCCGCCGACCGGCCGCCGAGTGTCGGCGAATATCACACGGGGAACGCGAACACGACGGCCGGCACGCGGCGTGAGACGAGGTACCGCGGACACTTTGAGAGAGGGGGTCTGTAACGTTTCGTTTTGATCGTCAATATCCATAGGAACTAGCATCCATCAGCAATATACATTCACATCTGTCATCTGATCTGTCGTACGTTGTGGGAGACACGCAGGATCACTCATTATGCGACGCATTTCGGCTGGACCGGGACGATCTGCATCACACTGTGGGATGATGGGGTCTGTTCACTTACCGTTCTAGGCATGCTCCCGGTGGTCACGCTGGTCTGCCACACGGATCGTCCTGGGCACTGGGATCCATATCACAGTTGCAGTCACCGCTGGCTCTGTGCGCGTCTTGACGGTAGCGTCTCATTTCCAGCACCATGGTCCCGTCATTGCGGTTTGGGCCCTTTGTGTTCGTGTGGCTAAAAAAACGATGTACGATGTACTGTCGTAGCATGCAACACACACCGTAGCACTCGACTTGGGTAATATATTGATTTCGCCATCGCTTGGACCTCGACGTTCTTCACGTTGGCATTTTGCGAGGTAGGGATGTTGGCAGAGCCAAGGCCCAAGCGACAGCGTTGCCTTTCAATCGGCGACCTCGAGCTGTATGAGCCGAACGAACTTTGAGAGGTCTGCTCTCCGTACAGAATCACAAAACGACAAAAAGACGCGGTAGACGATGTGGCCGATCTTTTCCCATGGTACGATAAAAGGGGTAACGGCACGTGCCTAGAACATTGTGAAATGCGCTCTTTCCCTCCGTGTCAGCGCTCCTTCTTCAATTCGGTCGATTCGGAAAGCGTTCGTGCTTCACTAAATGGAAGCAACGACCGGCGTCTTCCTTACTCGGCGCCCGGGGCAAGCAACGATTAGGCATCCCCTAATTTAATTTTCGTATCCATCCATGCTAGCGGATGCTCCATGTTACAATAGGCGTTCAGCTCGGCATATCGCGACCTGCTTTGCTTTGAACACTGTATTGCATTGCGTTGCTGGCCGACCTCCTCCGGCAACTTTCCTTTTTCATTTATGGGCGTTTTTTGGCCGATCGTTCTTACTGATTTTTGCTTTTTCTCGGCCAATTTTGATCTTCGACAAATGTCGAATTTCTTTGTCGCTTTTTTGCTTGATGTGCCATCCGGGAAGGAGCGGTGCGGGTCGAGTGGGGGTGCTGGAGAGGGTCAAGGCCCTCTTCAAGCGATGCGCTGTGCCGTCTGGTTGGCTGTTTTCAAGGTGTCAGTTTCCCAAAGAGGAAAGAACAGCACCGTGTTGCAGAACGGGAAACGGCACTACATCTGCGCGTCAAAAGGGGCCTGAGTTGCTAGGAGAAAGGATCCAGTACTGTGCGCAAGGAGGCAGTACCAAACATTGTCGTTATGTGTCTACACATGCATTGGCTGCCCAGGCATTGCATCCTGCGCTTTCTGCGCGGGGGATGTCTTTGGTTCGTTTTTCTGCGTGTGCCATGCTGCCATGCTGCCATGCGTCGACGGGCTTCTGCCGTCCTTCGACCATTGTTCCATGCACTGCATCTGCAAGGCCGGTGTCCCTCTGATGCAGGTTGTTATCGGTATTCTCTCGAGTTCCTCGTTTTCTCCGTTGACCCGACTCGACCTTTTCCCTTTACGTCCGCATGCGTTGGTCTGCCTTGCGCTTCGCTCTTGCCACTTCACTATCATCTCCCGTGCCCGCGGCTGTCTGTTGCCCTTTCCCGAAAATACGACGAGGACTAAATAAAGGGAAGGCCCGACCACCGCAACACAAATGATCACCGTAGTTCCTGCCTTCCAAGAAACTAACATGGATGTCCTGGCGCACGCAGCCGTCCTTTCCCTCTTTCCCTCTTTCGCTGCTACTCCCTTCCCTGTATTTCGTATCTTTCCTCCAATTCCAAATGCTTACTAGAATATTGGGGACACGCATGGTTCTTTCCACTTTTGACCTTGAGTCTTGCGTTCCTACCCATTGATGGCAGCGACGTCCCTACATGCATGTTGACGCCCTCGAAGAAAGATGCTCGCTCCACCCGTCTCAAATCTTGCGTCTTGAGAAACATTACAATGTACACAGTATGTTTGGTAAAACGACCGTCTAACCTGTGCTTTATTTGTACCGAGCCCCCAGTTTGTGGCAGATCCCCAAGACTGACCACCGCGCTAAAAAGGCCGACGCCGTATGTCGTAGCGGAGCACTTGCCTCCCGGGACCCAACAGACTTTCCCCTTTCTTTCCTATTTCAGAAACTCATCTTATCGATCGTGCCTTCTTCACGTCCCCGCTCCTCTCCTTCCTCCGTTATTTTACCTCACTTGGTGCCTACTTTACTCAAAGCATCCTCTCCTGACCCTTTTCTTCTTTGTAACCAGATATTTTTGCAGCGTCGTTTCCTCTCGTTATTCCACATCGCACGCAACCAGAACATCCTACCGTTACCCGTTATTGTTTTTTGACGTTTTCTACTCCCCACCGGCCATGCTGTAGTGCTCACTTCGCCAGATGTTCACCTGCAGGCAACGTCGGCCGATAACTTCGCCTCTCCTTTTCATCCCCGTATCTTTTCCATAGCAGCAACAATGTCGTCTTCGCCAAGAAAATTGTCGATTCAGCGCCCGGCGTCGGCCCTGGCCAAGCCGTCCTCAGTCCTTGATTACCAAAACGCGCGCCAGCCCGTTGCTCTGCCCACGCCGCCACCCAGTGCCCGGAGCACCAAGTCGGCGTCCAACCGGAGCGAGCGCCGCCGGAGTCTACCTGCCCAAGCACCGTCCTCGTCAGGATCGGCCGTGTCGACGCCCATCGATGCGTATGCTTACGCCTTGGCCAAACAACCAGACGAACTGGTGCATCTCGACATCAGTGGGACATTGTACGAGCGGCGGCGTTCGAGCGGGCCCATGTCGCCGACCATGTCGATGAGCAGTGTGCAGAGTGCGACCTCGGAGCGTGGCTACGAGCGGAACAGCCGCGGCGACCGAGGGCGCGACCGAGACGGTGAGCAGGCACGGACGCGCAGCATTGCCAGCAGCGCAGAGGAGACGCTGTCGATCCACCGGCTGCGCAGCAACTCGGGCCTGGCACTGCACACCAACAGTGCTGCGCTGCGGCGGTACACGGACTACAATGCAGACGGTTCAACACGGCTGCCACCGACAGACGAGCGCTTCGACTCGGACGGACGATTCGGAGAGGAGACGGGGGATGGCGGCAACCGGGCACCGGGCGCCGTGGCAGGGACACCGACAACTCCGAAGCTTCTCTCGTGGGAGACGGTCCGTGCGGTGCTCGACGACCCTGTGGCGCGGCAGCGACTGATGGAGTACACACGCTCTGTTGGCGGCGCCGAGAACCTCGACTTTTTGGAGATGGTGAGCAGAGACACGGTGCCACGAGAACCGAGGAGAAGTGTGTGTGATGCTAACTGAATAGGTCGAGCAATACAACAAGGCGCTGCATAGCGTCACGGCCCTCATGGCCAACATCTCGACCACGTACACATGCATGACGGCGACCGAGCCCCTGAACCTCCCGCAGCCGCTGTCCAAATCGCTCAACGCCGACGTCAAGCACGTGTCCAAATCGATCCTGCCTGGTCTTGAGATGCTCTTCGGCGACGTCAATGCACACATTCAGGAGCGCGTTGTGCGCAACATGTACCCAGACTTTGTCAAGCGCCAGCTCATGTTCCGCATGAAGAATTCGCTGGGCGCCTCGTCGGCGGGTGCGGCCAGTACGCCCTTCCGCTTCGAGGGTCTGGGCCAGGCGTTTTGTTTGACGGACCCGTACCGCCCAGACAACCCGGTCGTGTACGCATCCGACAGCTTCGCCAAAGTATTGGGATACAACCGGTCGGAGGACATCCCACGAACGGGCCGCTTCTTCCGTGGACCTGAAGTGAGCAACGAGGATGCCTTTTGTGAGGATTTGGTGCTCACACGCAATCACCGCGACAACCGGCCGTTCTGGAGTCTGGTGTCGGGTTGCCCCCTGAAGACAGCCAGTGGTCGCGTGCGGTTTGTGCTTTCTGGACTGGTGGATGTGACGGACGCCGTCAAGACGCGAGGGGATATTGTCAGTGCGTTGTCGGCTGCGGCGCCGGCTGCTCTTCAGCCCGCGCCCAGCCACGGACTGACCATGCCGGTCCACCGCGACGTCAACCGCCCAATGGGCACGATTACGGCCTCGCACGTCGCGTCCGGTCGCCCGCCGCTTTCCAAGCAGGACAGGACGGAAAAGCCATTGTCCAAGTCGTTCTTCAACCCCTTCTCGCGCAAGAAGCGGACCGACACGTCGGCGGCTCCATCATCACGAGGCGAGTCGGCGGCCCGTTTCAACCTTGGTAGTGACGTGGTCTCTCGTTCGACGCCGCCGGTTCAGTCGCCGATGACGACGGCAGCAGCACCGCAAATCAACCTTTCACCACCCGCCACACCCTCTCTCGACGACACGACGTCCATGTACGCACGGTTTATGGTGCTGCAATTCGTGCCCGGCTCCAGCCACGGTCCGGACTACAGCAACCCCATGCCACCACCGCTGTCGTCATCGTCTCGGCGCAACAGCCGCTACGGCTCCAGTGCAGGCGTCACGTCCGCCCTGCACCCTTCCGCGTCCGCCTCCGTCAGCCGCCTCAAGGTTGCCTTTTCGTCGCTGCCCATGCTGGACCTGTTGGGTCTGGGCCCGGCGGCTCAAGAAGCCGTCATGTACCACGACGTGTTTGCCGTGCTCTCCGAACTGGCCGGCTCGCCGTCGATCACGCCCGTGTTCCGCGCGAACGTGCGCCAGCGGGTGGTGACCTCCGAGTCGGCCAGCCTGGAGCTGAGCATCCCCGCCAGTGGTGTGATGGCGCCGGGTGCTGTGTCGGCGGGACTGGGCGCGGGTCTCGCGTCGCCGGCGAATGCGAGCGGCGGCGGCGGCGACGAGTCCGGCGCGAGCACGGCGTCGCGGCGGTCCAGTCTGCTGCTGAGCGGAGGTCGGTCGAAGCGGGACTCCATGGATGACGAGGGCATGTCGTCGTGGGACGGCAGCCGCGTGTCCGACGGGCGGTGGCCGCCGTCAAGCCGGCGCAAGCGGAGTGGCACGTACGAGCGGCCCGGGACCGGGTCGGGCGAGCGTCGTGGTGGTGGTGTTTCTGCGCCTCCCCGGCTGCAGCGACTGATGAGCCACTGGACGCCGCTCAAGGACGTCGACGGGACGGTGGCGTGGGTGATTTTGGTGATGTCGCCTGTTGTGCAGTGAATACGAAGGGCCAAAGAGGCAAAAAGTGCATTTACCGAGCGTGGTAGTTTGTTTTGTGTATTTCATTATTTACATGCGAGATACCCTGGTAGTACGACGGATGAATACGATATTCAAGTACAATATTCAAAGATTCAACATACACTTCGTTGTTTCTACACCAATGTCAACGTGCACGACGGACACTCTGCCGGATGGTCTGTGCCGCGCACGGCTCCACGAGCTGGCTGTAGTTTGTTTGGCTGCCCCATCAGGGCCGTAATTCTTCCACAACTGATCTTCAAACCTGACTGTAGTTAAGATACAACTTGCTTAAAGCACAGTCGTGGCGGCGTATTCTAATGGTTCAATGTGATGCCTATGTCTTGGCTGCTGCCGCAAAGAGCGAGCCTCGACATCTCCGCAACACGTCTCTTCTGTCTGTCTCAGCCTACCAGGAAAACTTCTCCTTGACCAGATCCTCCGAGAGGGCCCACAGCCGCGCCGCCTCCGCGCTCGACGTGGCCAGGTCGGTGGCCCCGTCGCTGACCTGGCAGTCGACCATGAAGGCGCCGTAGTTTTCGCGGTTTCGGGGGCCGCCGCGCGCCTCGACTGTCACTTTGTCGTCGAGGGCCGCCACGAGCGACGTGGACGCGCCAGCGCCCAGGGTTTTGTACGTGACGGTGCCGTCGGCCACCATGGCGTTGACGCTCTCCCGCACGACCGGCTCAAAGGCGCGGCCGAGCTCGGTCAGGATGACGCCCGGGTGGACGGCGACGCTCAGGATGCCGTGCGTCGCGTAGAGCGCGTGCGTCGTCCCGATGGCGGCCAGGACGTTGGCGACCTTGCTGCGGTTGTAGCCGTCGATGCCGGCGTACGCGACGTCCGCGAGCCCCGTGTAGCCCCAGCGCGTCATGAACGCGTAGTTGGGCTGCTCGGCGGCCGGCAGGTGCTTGTTGACGACGTCAAAGTTCATGTCGCTCCAGCGCATGGCGCCGATATAGGCCGAGCCCGCCGACACGTTGACAATGCGGACGCTGCCCTTGGGCTGGCCGCGGGCCGCCGCAATCAGCTTCGGCATCAGCAGGCACGACAGCAGCCAGTGGCCAATGTGGTTGGTGGCCATCTGCATCTCGATGCCGTCGACGGACAGCGTGCGCTGCGGCAGGCCCATGACGCCGGCAGTGTTGAAGACATAGTCGATGGTGGGGATGTCGGCCCATCCCAGCACGTCGGCCGCCGCCTTGCGCACGGACGCCTGGCTCGACAGGTCGATCGGCAAGGGGCGGACATCGACGGCCGGGAAGGCGGCCTTGAGCGCGTCGATGCACTCGGTAAGCTTCGCAGGCGTGCGGCCGGCCAGAATCAGGTGAGCAGGCGCCTGGGACGCCATGGCGTAGGCCGTGGCGTAGCCGATGCCCTTGATGCTGCCGCCTGTGACGAGGACAGTCTTGCCGCGGACGCGGTCCTTGAAGGCCTTGGCAACCTCTGTCGCCTCGGTGTTGGGACCGAACTCGGCGTATGTGGTAGGCATGTTGGTGGAGGGAGTGGTGGGAGTTTATGTGGTGGATGTGGTGGTGGTTGGATGTTGACGAGGAGATGGGACAACTAAGTGAGTTGAAGACGAGTAGAGGGAAGACTAGAAGAGCTGCGAATGAGACAAAAGAGCAACAGAATTTCGTAAATCGTACATGCCCCCTTCTTATATACGTCTCTCGTGGCCACGTTCGTTAGCATCGTATCTGTTCGGTCGTCGTCGATGCGTTGATGTTGTCGTCGCCAATAAGAGACTTATTGCCGTTTTGGGACTAGCACCTGTTTGCTTCTTGCAAGCGTAAGAAATGCCAGAGAATATGACCCGCTTATGTTGTGACACCGGCCAATAAGAGACTTGATACCCGATCAGGACTAGCCAGACCCTGAACTGACCAATACGAGATCGGCTTCCTATTTGGGACGATGCACAACCGCCAACAAAAACGGTCGATGTAAGGATTCGTTTTTTGTATTTCTGGTGTAATATTTGCTACACCGGAGATTGGAGACCAATTCCGTCGTCAGGAGGTCTCCAGAGCTGTGTCCGGAGATAAGCACAAGGCCGACGGACGGGATATGAACGAAAGACGGTAGAAACGGAGCCGCTCCAGATGGAATCAGAATCAGATATTTTGGTGGACATGACCAGAGGTCAGCGGCATGGGGGAAGTGGAGTCAAAGACTAGTCGGCCTGACAAAGGTACTGGGTAGGTCTCAAGCTGTACCGAACTGCGCATGCATTACACTGCCTCCCTCGACGCCTCCCACAGCTCCCGTCCTGGTTGGCTGTGAAGCACTGTCAAGCACGGGTACTTATCCAGGACAGTCCGTACATCGTCCCAGGTCGTGATTCCCAGCCGGTCGGCCAACTGTCGTACCTTGCGTGCCTTTTGTGTCCGCCCAGGGCAGTCTCCCTTGGACCAATCCCCTTGTGTCCACATTCCGCCCATCATTACCACCCAAAAGCAAATTTCGTCGTTTTTTATGTCGTTGGGGTCCTCGCTGCGCTCGCTTCTCCTGTTCTCGCCTGGGTCGTCCTCCACAACCGCTCGAAACCTCTTCCCAATCAGCCGGTAGCCCAGCAGCCGTCGCTGGTCAAACCGGAGAAACAGGGACATGACAAACATGGTCATGCCCAGGTGGTAGAGATCGGCTGTCGAATCCGCTCGAAACGTCTCGCGTCCCATCCGCAACAGCCGGTAGCACAGCGACGAAAAGATGTCGCCAAAGGTAAAGACGTCAATGGGCCGCCGCGGCAGCTCCTTTTCAAATAAGAGGGACACGGCCAAGACGTCGCACAGCAGGGCGTAGAGGTCGGGCTGCTGGAGGGCCAGACTGGCGTGGTGCGTGACGGCGGTGTCTGTGGCGGCCCGCACGCACCGGCCCCCAAGGTCCAGCTGGTCCACCACGCTCGCCAGAACGTCTCGGTAAAAGAGCGGCGGCGCGCCAAACTGCAGGGCGTAGACAATGTCAATCTTGCAGATTTTGAGCAGCAGCGGCCGGTCCGCGGGCCGCGTCTCAAACGCTGCCAGGCCGCCGCGCAGGGCCACCATTTGCGCGAGACCGGCCAAGTGGACGCGCGCGTTCCGTGACGCGTGCCGCATCTGCTCTTGCGAAATGAACATGAGCACGAGCAAGATAGTCGAGTTGGCCAGGGCCTCTGGGCCGTCCAGTCTCGTCTTGAGTTGTCTTAGCGATTCGGCCACGTAGTGCGCATACGTGGCGACGTTTCTGTCGCCGCTGTCGCCGCTGGCGCCGCTGCTGGTGGCCACCACACAGCCCGTCGCCGATCCCAAGACCACCTCGTTGCTGGCCTGCATGAGCGCCAGCGTGCAGTGGTACGCGGTCTCGTCGGCAAAGATGAACTGGAACCAGAGCGGCTTGGCCGAGGCGGAGGTGACGCCGAAGCTGTGTGCGTAGACGCGTTCGACGGTGCCGTTGAAGTCTAAGCGAGCATGGCCCGAGCAGCGCGTTAGCGATGCTCCAAGAAATGATGGGTTGCGAAGCAGCCACTATAGAGGATACTAGACAAAAGAAAGAAGGACAGAACAACTCACATGCATCAATCACTTGCAAGGCAAACGATGTCATGGCCACCGGGCTGTCGATCGCCGCATAGAATGCCGTGACCGGCGGCAGCCGTTTCAAGATGTCCAATGATTCTGTAAGGCTAAAGAGCGAAGAATTGGAGCGTGACGACGACGTCGACTTTGCAATCGCCTCTTGTTTGGCCGTGTCTCCCCTCCGTACAGGCTTCAGCTGGCGCGATGGTCGATGCAGGGTCTTGCCGGCGTTCTTTCCCTGCATAACGTGTCGCCGCATCCGCCGCTGCGTCGACCGGTCGTTTTGCCGGCCATTGACGAACATGAAGCCGGCCATCGTGGGTGTGTGAATATGTCAATTGGTGTGTGTCGTGGGAAACGCCGGTAGACGTCGGTGACTGATGTTTGACGTTTTAACATCGCCGCAAATACGGGTGTAAGCCACCGTCGGACTTGATTATCTCCGAGAGGCGCTGTGGCAGCTGCAAAGCAGTGGCATCTTTCTTAGTGGCAGCCTTGTGAGCCACATGTCGATCTAGGACAAAGAACAGGCAGAGGAACAGCTCTGTGGGTTGGTGAATTGACTTGGCTGAGAAAACAATATGAAAAAGGGGAAATAATTTGAAAACGAAAAAATATTGTCGACACAAGTTGGCCGTCGTAATCGGTATGAACTTGTTAGAAAACGTCGTGGCATCTATTCAGTTGTTTCATGGCCATGGCCATTGAGAATGAGAGTCGAATAATCAAAAAGACCCATGGGATTTGCATCGCTGCCTTGTCGTTCATTATTCGGTTCCTGGATAAGTGCAATGCAGCCTGGCCGACGGCTGTGGCCCAGAAAGCCGGAATTTAGGGAGAATCGTCACTAATTGTCGTTAATTGTGATATTTTCGTCGCCGTCTTCGTCCCATGTATTCTTCAATTCTTCAATTTCCCGAGCCGTGTCTGCGGCTGTTGAATCAATGTCTCTGCCAATATATTATTTGTTCGTCCTGTCTTCGTCGTTATCATTCCGCGCCCAGAATTGGATCGGAACAATAAGTGCGTGTTTGCGGTTCGGTGTATTTTCCTCTCGTGCCTCATTGAATTGCTGCCAGTTCCGTGCATCTTTGCCATCGTATCCCTGAATCAGGCTATTCAGACCCAAATTAGATTTCATAAACGAGAGGAGGAGTTTCCATAAAAGAGAAGCAAAGAGAAAAAGAGATAACGCCAATGGGCCGTATATAACGCAAAACGACTGCAGTGTGTCGCGATGCTTCATCACTTGGGCAGCAACTCCGTGACGTGACAAGAGCCAGAGCAACAAAATAGACTGCCGACTGCCCATCCACGTCCACACGTCCAGAATGCTCTCCCTCTCGGTGCTGCTGCTGGTATCGCCGGCTGCCGTGCTGCTCGTCTCGGCACAGGTCCTCCCGCCACAGTCGCCCATCATCCCTGGCTGCACGACCAGCTCGTTTTCCATTCCCAGCTGGTACGTCCAGAACTTGACCGTCTCGCAAACAGCGGGCACCACCTTCCACGTCGTCAACCGCGCCACCAACCGTACAGCCGCTGTCACCTGTCCAGCAGGCGGCGCAGCGCATCCCGACGGATGGACACCGTGCAGGGTCGCGTCCCTGTCGCCCCTGTTTCTCGACCTTGGCTCGGTGGTCCAGGCCAGCGCCAACAGCACCACCGTCCGCGTCGGCCTCAACGAGACGTGGACGTGCAGCGACCGCAACGCGTCGCAGCCGCTGACCTTTAGTGCGGAGGGCACGGCCTCGGCCAAGCTCAGCTGCGGCGGCAAGAACGCGACTGGCTGCACGGCCGTCGACGATGTCGTGCTGGTCCGCGGCTCGCTGCACAAGCCCGTCGAGGTGACGCCGGCCTACTCCAAGGGCCCTCCGGGTCATGCCAAACCGGGCTGTGCGGCAAACTCCAAGACACCCCGCTGGACGCTGAGCGATGTTTCGTATGTCGACCGGACGGGCGACGGCGTCACGTCCATGGCACGGAAGGACTTTATTGCGCAGCTTGTCAATGCGGCCACAGGCTACGAGTCTGGGTGCTCGGCCTATTATGGGGTGGGCGGTGGCCCCCCGGGGTTGGGAGGTGGCCCCCCGGCCCCGGGAACGCTTCCAAACGGCACGTCGCCCACGGCCCTCCACGTCGGTTGCACCGGCGTCGAGTTTAGTTCGTCGGGTATCGGCCAGTACCGGCCGCAGACGGACGCCTCATTTGACCCGGCGATGTCCACGTTTACCGTGAACCAGACGTGGTTCTGCGACGACGGCGATGCAGCGCGGCCTGTACAGATCACGGCCGTCGGGAGTGCCACGTTGTCTCTCAGGTGCGTGACGAAGACCCTGCCGGGTTCCAGCTCCACCGACGGCGGCAACGGCACCGCGCAGACCAGCAAACAGTGTGTGCCCGTCGCCAGCAAGGTTAACGGCACTACGGGCGGCATCATCGTCACCGGTCACGTCACCAGCACCGTCGCTCTGCCCGCCTACTCCATCGAAGAGCCCCAGCCCGTCCCGGACGGCTGCACGGTCTCCTCGCTGCTGAACCCCGTCTGGATCTACAGCGCCTTCGGCTACTCCCAAAAGAACGGCTCTGCGGGCGTCACGGGCATCAACTTTAACCTCATCCTCCAGACGTCCAACCCGGGCTTCCAGTTCCCCATCAGCATTTCGCAAGGCCCCAAGTGGAGCGGCAACACCACGCTGCCCTTGCCCGTTGGCAACGCCACGACCACAACCACTGAGCCCTGGTACGACTGCATCATTGGCAACGGCGGCGACGACAGCCCGACGCTGTGGCCGCACGACTGCCGCTTCCAGTACGTGCCCTCCACGAAGCAGCTGTCCCTCGTCGCCGACTGGTACTGCAGCGACTTGGACCGCCAGCACCCCGTCGCCTTTTCCGGGCGGTCGACCACAGTCGTCTCGAAAAAGGTCAACTGCGGGCCCACGACCGTCAACGGCGTCGTCAACAAAGAGGGGCTGCAGACCTGTGTGGCCGTCGACACGAGCGATTCGTGGACCGCGCCCATTACCGATGTGACCTGGAAGTCGGCATAGGGTGGAGGTATGGTGGCGGCGGTTAAGGCGGTGGAGGTGGTGGTAGTGTGCGTGCGTAGCAAAGTAAAAGCAAAACTGATATCACAAACGGGGCGTTCATGAAGGTCGGCAGATCTGCTTGTTGCGTGAGCCGTAATAGAAGACGTTAGAAAAGACATACAAAAACATTTAGAAAAGTACAATGGACGACATCCATCGAGACCTACATGCTAAAGAAAACTTGCCGTTTACTGGGCCAGAACGACAGGGGTGTCATCTCTACCGTGCCATCGTGCGCAGGTGCGCAGAATTCCGCGAGCCGTTCGTCTTACCCCACACGCCAGGCAGTCTGCAGGGGGGAGTGAGAATGAGCCTGATCGTGTCATGCAGGTGTCTGTATTGCTTGATTCATTGAAACATCGTCGTGTCTTGTCGTGTTTCCTGACGTCGTTTGTTGTCTTTTGCCATTTCTGGGTGTCGTTCATCTTGTCTTTCAGCTGTTAGTTGATTCTTTGTTTACCCTCATTTCCGACGCCGTACGCACCATCACCAGATACACATGGCCGAACCGTCGCCTGTTCAGGCCACGGCAGAGGCCGTTCCCTCAGCCTGCGGCGTTTACGTACCCATTTCGAACAACTTCGAGATCCGCTTGCTCGAACTGTTACCCGCCACTGGTGACGATCCCAGCGCCGACACACACGATGACGACATTGTCCGTGTCGAGCTGCACTCCGCCTCGCTCGAGAGCCTCCCGCCCTTTGAAGCCATCTCCTACTGTTGGGGCGATCCCAGCAACGTGCGCTCCATCCAGTGCAACGGTGAGCCCCTCGACATCACCGTCAGCCTGTACGGCGCCCTCCGCCGCTTTCGCCCCGCTGCCGGCCAGCCGAAGCGCACCCTCTGGGCCGACGCCATCTGCATCCAGCAGACAAATCTTGACGAAAAGGCCGGCCAGATCTTGCATATGCCGCACGTCTACTCGCGCGCCGATCGTGTGCTCGTGTGGCTCGGCGAGGACAATGACGATCCGCGCGTGGCCGATGCCCCTGCATGTCTGCGGCAAGCCATGGCGTTCCTGCCCGACATGCCGCTCGACAGCGAGGCCCTCTACGCGACGCAGCAGCGCATCTATGGCACCGCTCTGGAGATGCAGCGCCAAGGCAAGCCCAACTTTCTGGACCACGACTGGGCACCCCTTGTGGCGCTGCTCACGCGGCCCTGGTTCCGCCGCAAATGGGTTGTCCAGGAGGTCTGCTTGGCCCAAGACATCCTTGTGGCGTGCGGTCGCATCACGTTCCCCTGGGCACATCTGGCCGAGGTCGCCTACAACACTACGGCCGGGGGCATCTTGCTGCAGATTCTGGGCAGCACCAGCCTGACTCAGCACGCCTCGGTGTTCCGCGGGCCCGGGCTGGTCTCCGAGCAGGACCCGGCCACAGACAATGACAAGGACAAGGGCGACATCTTTGACGACATGAACCTGGCCGGACTCGTCCTCCAAAACATCCAGATCATGCGCATGATCCGCACGTTCCGCCACGTCGGCCAGCTGCTGGACTGCATCATGGCCACGCCGCTCTTTGAGTGTTCCGACCCGCGCGACCACATCTATGCCGTCCTGAGCGTGCCCCAGAACCCAACGTCCCGCTACCAGCTGCGGCCCGACTACACCTTGACCACCGAACAGGTCTTTACGGCCTTTGCCGTGGCCACCCTTGTCGGCGACCAGAATCTAAAGCTGCTCGGCTTGTGTCCGCAACTGTCGCGCCCGCCTCGTACCGTCGCTGTTGCCGAAAGTGAACTGCCGCCACCACCAACAGGACGCCTTCTACCGGATCTACCCGTCGACAAACGGGGCCGAAGTCTTGCCCAGGCCGCCAGCAGCCTTGTCAACACGACCGCCACAACATCCGACAGCATTTTCACCCGATCTGAACCCCTCGACCTGCCCTCGTGGGTGCCCAACCTCACCGGCATGGGCATTACCAACCCTTTCACTTGCTACTCCGTCTTGCCCCAGCTGTTCCATGCTGGCGGGCCCACGACGCCGCCAATCTCCGTGTCCGACGACCACACCCTGTTGTACCTCCAGGCCCGCGTCGTCGACACCATCGCTAGCATCCTCCCCAGCGACGTCATCGACCGCTGCGTACCCTCTGAGGCCGAGATTGCGCCCTTCTTGGCCCGCTTTGATAATCACAAGGAGCTCACCGCCACGCAGCTGTGGCGACGCAACTTGCTGCTCGTCGCCAAGAACTTTATCCTCGGCGTCGACGACCTCGAAAACAGCCCGGCGACGCTGCCCATGACGCCCGAGCAGTGGTCGGCGTTTGCACGCGTCATGACCAGCGAGATGAACAACCGGAGGGACCCGCTGCCGCCGGCCGTGTACGACGCGTTTGACGAGTATGTCGAACACACACTGGGCATGTTTGAGACACCGACACCGACCGACACAGGCGCCAGCGCCCAGGGCGATGGTGACGATGACGGTGATGGCGATGCGAAGGCTGCGGCGGCCGCCAAAATTGATGAAATGATGTCCCAGTACAGCGCCATAATCGAGACGTCCATGGTGGGCATATCGACCATGCGTATGCTGGCGCGCACAACGTCTGGGCGCCTGTGCCAAGTGTCCGCGGGCACCAGTGAAGGCGACTCGATTGTTGTAGTCATCGGTGCCGAGGCGCCGTTTGTCATGCGAAAGGTCGATAAGCCGGAGCCGTCCGGCGACGAGACGGCCAAGGACTCGAACTGGAAGGCAGGCGAGACGCGCTTCAAGTTTTTGGGCGACAGCTATGTGATGGGCATTATGCAAGGCGAAATCCTCAACGACCCGCAGTATGAGACGATACAGATAACGGTCCAGTGAACGCCGAAAATTGATATGACAGCAAGCAAACTAAATTCAAAGAGGCGTGAAACAAACGCTTAGGCAGCCAAATGAGCGGTCCAAAAGAGAATAGCATACTTTCTAACATCAACCCCAAACCCAAATAAACACATATTGTCCCCAGGAGTGCTTCCTCCGTAGACCCACCGGCGTCCTTCGTGACAATCGACGCCATGTCGGTCAACGAGCCGATGCCAGTCCGCAAAAATCGTATGGCCGGCGTCGTTTTTCGTCGTGAACAAGAGGTCGAGTGGGTACCGCCGCTGCGTCTCCGACAGCTTGCTCATCTGGACAGCACGCTGAACAGCTCCGAGGCGCCAAAGCCGCACATGGTCTGGTACGTCGTAGCGAGATGGGCCGTAGCCGCACCGCCAGCCTTTAACCCAGGCGGCAAATTCGAGGGCGTGTTTGTGCATCACGTCAGTTGGTGACGCGATTGTTGGCGACCCCAGACATAAACTGATTTCCAGTCAGCAGAGAGCGTCGGTGGAAGACTCCTAGTCTGCACAACTGCCAGTACCAGTGCTTGCCTTTCATGTCCCATGTCTTTCCATTGACTTTTCGCTGAGCCTTCGATTTGACGTTTATGCCATCCTCTTCTCTTTCGCAAAGATCACGATGTGAATACGTCCATGCCTCTTCCAATGGCTGGTTTGTCTGCCCAAACTGGTTCGAAATAGCCGCAGCATGTGCTTCGTCCGGAGTCGAGGCAACCTTGACAAGCTATTTACCGATGGAGGATCGTCAAGGCTGATCGAAACCTGCCGCCCCCAGATGAACACCCTTGGGCCTGCTTGCTGTAGAGAGCGGGTGCGCATGGCCGTGGCTAAACATGGATGTTGGCTGCATTTGAGTGACGACGGCACATCGCATATGCCGGGTTCCATGACAGCATTCACTGCATCGTCGAAATGGCATCTCGAAAGTTATGAATGCTGGGGGGCTTTCGTTCCTTCTCCCAATTTTGCTTCCCCCTTATTCACCAAAGACCATGCACAGCGTCATTGCACTCGCAACTCACTGGCAGTAGCGGGGCATCAATGAGACGCGTTTAGGGAAGGAGCGACCACCGCAAGCCACCGCAAAGGAAGGCACGCCCGTACACCCGTTCAAGCCCAGGCAAGAGCAGCCCATCCCTCATTTTTGGCCCTTTTGCCTTTTTCCGCATTTGCCTCCAAAAATGTGTTGTGATATACACAAGATATGGGTGCAATTGGCTGTGCAAAATGCCCACGCCGTCCAAACTTTTTTTCGACGGTTGTCCCGGATAGCTGAGCTTCAGGACTCCATTTTCCATGCCTTATGACGCCCGCAGCTGCCATTACCATAAAGATAAAAAGAGACAAAGTATGCATCTTTCGTTGCATCGCACCTTCCGTCCGCTCATCTTCACATCGCGGTATCGTCGAATCGTTCCTGCCTCTCGTTCACTCGAGCAAAAGCGATACCTAACAGCCCATTCTACACTCATAGATGCATCGCGACGGTGACCTGCACCAAAAAAAAAAAACATTAGAAATTTTCACAAAAAAATGAGTTGATCAGACCCACGGGAAGAGCTAGATCCTTCACGACAGGTGAACCCCAAGATCCGTACGCAGTCCACCCCTAGCGGTCGGGTATCATTGGTTATCGATCCAGATCTTCCTGGTTGTCGCGGCAGGTTTCTCAGAGAGGATCCTTTGACCTCAGCGAAACTGTACAGGCAGAGGATGCTTCGCGCCGCACACCATCAAGCGCACCCTTGCGGGTACTCTGGGGTGCGGAGGTCAGCAACATGCTTTCCTAGGTGACACTCGAGGAAAGAACCATCTGAGCTCTTACCACTACACCAAGCTCTTCTATCGGAAGAATAGCTGGCTGCAGCCATATATAAAGGTAAGGTCGACCCCTCCTTTCAAATTGGAGTTCTCACGTGCTGTGTGCAGGCCGAAAGTTTGATAAAAGAGGAAAGAGCGATGGTCGTCGATGTGCGAAAGAGGAACGGCACGACCTTCTTATATGTCAACAACGCCGCCCCACCTGTTGAACAGCGTCACGTGCGTCTGCCATCAACAATGTCGTCGGGCACGCTCTCCGACGCGCCTCCAATTGCCCCTGGACATGTCACCACAGGACGCCGGTTGCTCTTGCTTCACACTTCATCGCGCCGTCTTCGCTCTGCCTTCCTTCGCACACTCATTCCCCTCTCCACCCAAAAAAAAAAAGAAGCCACGAAGACTACGAATTAATTAGTGCTCAGTCCCCGCTTAGTCCCCCTCCTCCCCAGTTCCGTCCCCAGCGACATCACCAGAACCTCGGAAGGAACCTAAAAGTTGGAAAGAGCCAACTTGACAAACCACCGTTCCACCACATGCATCCGCAGAAGCCTGCCCGCGCCTGCCTCCGGCGCTTTCCAGTCTTCCGCGGCTTTGGTCATTCCGATCGAGTCACTTCCAAAAGCGTACTTGAAATCGTTTGTGCATCAGCACGAGAAGGCGGACATGCATGCGCAAGCGCAATAGCTCCTGTAAATCTGCATCGCTGCTTCCTCTGCTCTGTCTTTGTAACCGGCTTTCTCTTGACTCATTGGCGCTTTCCATAAGTCGCAATTCGATACGTAGCAAGGCTGCCTGCTTACTTCTGCCTTGCACCTTCCTTCGCTTGCCCGTCAATCAATTCCATTTTCTATCTCAAATTTGTTCTGAATCGTGCTCTCCCAAACCTTCTCTTATTTCTTTTTCACCATGTGAAATCTTGCATAGACTTCTCAACGTCAGCCTCACGCACACTGTTTCAATTACCTTCCTGCCACTGTCTGGCTCGATCACTCGCTCGTTTGTGTCTCATCTCACACTCCCACCCACGGCATACTCCGTACTCTCAAGTACACAGGTCCCTACGAATGGATTAACGTCGGAGGGAGTACCTTTTCCGGCAACCCAAAAGAGGATTTTCCGAGAAATAGAAGAACGGAGAAACGAGACGAGCAACACATAGTGACAGTTGACGAATTTAACACACTTCGTCGGCAAATAGTTGGCTGCCACAACTTCCCACGTCTAGAAATATTGACATCGTAGGATCGCTTGCACGATCCCCCAGATTGCCGGCAACGCATCCTCTCGCATCGACCGGTCAATCTCCCCGCCCCATGTCCGAAACACGCTCGTGACATTTGCATACCTTTTTCCCAGCCGGGTCCGCGCCGCGTGCACTGCAATCGGATTGGAGAGAGCAGATGTTTTCCAACACCAAACACCGCCACCACGAAGCCGTCCACAATGCCACCTGAACATGACCAGCCGCCGTCTGCTAGGGACGACGAACACCCCATCCTGCACAGTCTTCTGGACTCGCTGAACGCCTTGAACGAGCGCCTCAACGTCATCGAGAACGTCTTGGCCGTTCCAGACCACAAACAGCTGTCGGCAACACCTCAAACCGTCCGCAAAACGCATGCACGAGTCCCTACGCAGCATCGTGACAGTCAAGCCAACACCAGCATTAGCCGACAGCCATTACCGTCCACAGCGCCACCACTACCACCACTCCACCAACCATTACCAAGCGCTACACAGTTCGCTGCAGCCACAACACCGTCGTCCTCTATACCGTCTCCAACATCCTTCAGCATACCACCGACAGGAACACCGATACCATATTCCCCATACGACATTGACCCCTCGAAGCCATCTCCTACCTCGATATCCTCCTCCAAACGATCCTCGCAACCGTCGCATGCGACAAAGTCAAGGGTAAAGTTCGAAGACGACAATAGCGACGGAGATCTCGAGGCCAGCAACAGCCGGCCGGCTGACAAAGACGACGACGACGAAGACGACGATGACGATAATGACGACGATGATGAGCAACAAGGCAGAATAGACGAAGCAGGCGGTTCCGGTGAGGGTGGGAGCACCAGCGGCACGCTACCGAAGGAGCTACAGCCAACTGGCGTCGGCGAGAGCCGACTCGAGGCCCTGCCCGAGGGCTTTGTCGTGTCTGGGCGTGCCACCTTGCAAGAAGAGCTCGACGGCTGGACGATCCCGCGCGGCTACAGTATGCGCATCAATGGCACGCGCTCCCACGGTCGCCGCCAAAAGATCCGCATGGTCTGCTTTCGCGGCGGTCGCTCACGCTTGCGGCCCAAAGAAGAGGAGGCCAAACGCGAGCGAGAGAAGGAACGGCTGCAACTGTTCCCCGACCTGCCGCCGCGCCGTCGCAAGCCTACAACAGACCGCATCTCGAAAAAGTGCGAATGTCCCTTCCGCTTCGAACTGGTGGAGGTGCGCCCCGGTGCCGACCGCTATGCCGTGCACTACACAAACGACGACCACATGCAGCACAACCATGCGGCGGCGGACCTGATGCTGGACCCGCGGGCGCGCAAGCTCCCGCGGGCGCTCAAGGCCGAGGTGGACCAATGGCTGCGGGATGCATCGACTGTGGGGACGGGTGGCAACAGCAAGGGCGGCGGTGACACGAACAACACTGGCGGCGGCAACGGCAGCAGCAGTCCTGGCTGGACCATTGCCAAGATCCAGGCAGAGCTGCAGCGACGAGGTTACGGCCACGTCCTCGACTTTGACCTGCGGAATCGGAAACGGGCCCTACTGCACAGGGACCGCATGGCGCAACTCAAAAATGAAAACGATGGCGGCAGTGGCGGCGACACGCCGGCCGCAACGTCCTAACGCGACGACGCAACAAAATAATCCGTTCTCGCGTTTTCTGGGCCTTTCTCTCTTATTCTCAGTCCATTTTCTACTGCTTTCTCTCCGGCGCGTGTTCTGAACTGCGTTCTCAGGATATCATACCCTCAATACGAAGTACTTTCTTTTCGGCGCTTTGGGAGAGACGTATCACCATACTCTCTGGATCTACAAACGCAAGATTGACGACATACATGTCAACTGCACGGAACGGAACGGAGGCCTTCTGACTTTACTGGCGCGATGACTTTACTTTCAATACTGTCCCTACTTCTACCCGCCATATTTATGACGGCTTTAGATGTTCTATTTCAGTTTTGCATTGAGCGGCAAACTGCATATTTATTTTTTTCTCCAAAAAGTGCTTAATAAAATTACTCAAATTTTACGATTGCAAATAGCAAATCATTTGACAATACGTACCGCATACAGTCACAAAATGCACAGTTTGATCTCTACGAGTAGAATCTGACAACAGGTCATCGACAATCAGGTATAAATTGGAACGATATTGTGCAATGAGCTACAACATGGCCACCCCATTTGTCGTTTGCTTCTTTACAGAGGCAGTCTTGATTGCGTCCCGTCAACCCAGCCTTCTCTGCACCTACGCCGTCTTTTCCAATCTGCATTTAGACCTTGGAGTACTTCTTGAAAGCAGCCAGCAGACCGCCGGTCGAGGAGTCGTGGCCGGTGCCGTTGCCCTCCTCGTCAATTTCCTTGAGGATCTTCTTGGC